CCCCCCCCCCCCCCCCCCCCTGCGCTCCTGCCACTACGCCCCATGCAGCTTTCCTGTGGCTGGTCACATGTGCAGCTCCACATGCTGCTGACATGCCTTGCATGCCACCCATCAGCAGCCTGTGGAGCCACATGTGTGACTGACCATGGGAAAGTGGCTCAGGGCACTGCAGCAGCAGCATGGGGTGGTGGAGGCTGCCATGTGCGAGACCTGCCCCCTCCCCCCCAGCTGGCCAGCTGGGCAGTGCATGTGCAGCCTGCAGAGGGGCACCGTTGCCCTCACCCCACCCACCCCCAGCCCTGCTCCTGGGAGCAGGCACAGAGTTATACTCCCCCCCATTCTTGATCTGGTCTTCCCCAGGCCCTTTTCTCTCCCCCACCCCACCCCACCCCACCCCTTCCCCTCATGCACACTTACCTTCTGGGTAGGGTTGTGTCTGCATCTCTGTGTGTCTGTCTGTATGTGTGTGTGTGCATGTGTCTGTGTCTGCATCTGCATGTCTGTCCCTGTCTGTGTGTGTCTGCGCCTTCATGTGTGTGTCTGTGAATGTGTCTGTGTCTTTGTATGTGTGTGTGTGTCTGTCCCCTGCCTGCCCAGCCACAGCAGGCACATGGCATTGCATGCCTCTTGGGGCACTGGGATGCAGAGTCCAGCCTGCAGCAGCAGCTGCCTCCACCCAGCACACAGATCTGGGGGGCATGTTCCCCCTGGATCTCTACCAGGGTGCACGCAACAGCAGGAACTGCCCCTCCCTCCCCGCGCCTCCTAGATGAACTGCTTTCACAGTGCAGTCCCACACTCCACCCTGGCTGTGTTGCACTTGCCCCTGCCCGTGCCCCTGCCCGTGCCCCTGCCCATGCTCCAGCCTCACTCCTTTCCTTACCGTGGGGTCCTCGATCTGCACCCTCCCCCCCCTCTTAAAACCAAGATAAAAATATAAAGGGGTACATGAGCTGAAACTTTGAGGCAGAAGGGGTATACTTGTTAAAAAAGGTTGAAAACCCCTGGTATAAGGCATTGGACTGGTAAACAAGGTGATAAAAGGTACTCAGGAATGAATAAGGTGAAATTCCTGAGTTCATTTGATTGATACTGGAATACTGGAGCCTTTACACCATAGTAGTCCAAACATGATTTCAAAATAGCAGTGCTAATGCTTCTATGGTGCAACATCACTGGATGCTCTGAGGGAAGATCCAAGATGGAGAAGAAAGCACCTGTACCAGCCAGCTCTAAAAAGGCAAGTATAGTGTGCTTGGAGTGGGGTTGGGAATCTTTGGCATTGGGGGTTCCTTGAAGGTGTTATTTAGGGAAAAGGAAGGAGGGTATTTCAAAAGCAATTTTATATATTCCCTTGACATGAAGTTTGCTATACCCCATCAGGTTCTGTTCCCATTGGAAAGGCAGAAACCAGTGCTCCAAGAAGCCTTGGTTTTGTAATAAGATCTCAAACTGGATTTCAGATGAGGTTTAGTTCTTCAGCATGCTTCTTTGTACTGCTCAGTTTGAGATGCTTTGATGTTGACTAGCTATAGAGAAATTGCAATTTAAAAAGAAAACAAAATACATGTTCTGGTATGGATAACAAAGCGTGGAAGTGAAAGTCTTTGCTATTAATTCTGGGGATTCCTAGTGAACACATGAAATACTTTTAAAAGACTATAAGGCGATTAGAGAATTAGCAAAATTAAAGTTTTTTAACTCTGAAGATAACTACCCAGTGAAACTTCTGGGCACTTGGTAGGGTCTCCCTGATCTGACTTCTTTAAATCTGCAAAGAGGCTAGCTTCTATTCCCCCTATTAGATGTCTA